CATCCGATCATGCCAACTTTTAAGCGGCTTGAATACTAAAACACATTAACTTCAAAGACAACAGCAACCGAAGTTAGCCAATCGGCGGCTCCTAAACACCTCACGCGTTACATTCAAGAAGTAAGGTCTTACAGTTTCCAAAACATGAAATTTCATACAGCCCGAGTATATATACACATACAAGCCAAATATTATAATCAGGGTTTACACATCTCCAGCTTCAATCCCAAAACAAAACTATATCGTTTAATTCAAATACATTACAAGTCACAAAACGAAGTAGATACATTCTTAAGAAGATATAAGCAGCTCAGATTTCTCAAACCTCAAGACCTGTCAAGGAAAACAAATAAACGTGGGGTGAGCTAAAGCTCAGTGGTGCCCCAAAATCATGCAATCACTCGAAACAATTAACACGCATTGATTCGACTGAAGTAAATAAATAGGGAAGCAATAATATTCAAGTATACCTTAGACTGGTCGAGGGATTCACCCAACGACATTACATCCAACACTTATATTTATAGACTGGTCGAGGGATTCACCCAACGACATTACGTCTAGCACTTGATTGTTATAGACTGATCGAGGGATTCACCCACCGACTTTACGTCCAGCACTTGATTGTTATAGACTGATCGAGGGATTCACCCAACGACTTTACGTCCAGCACTTAATTGTTATAGACTGATCGAGGGATTCACCCAACGACTTTACGTCTAGCATATAGACTGATCGAGGGATTCACCCAACGACTTTACGTCTAGCACTTAATTGTTATAGACTGATCGAGGGATTCACCCAACGACTTTACGTCCAGCACTTGATTGTTATAACAAGATAAGAAACCCTCCCACCCTTATGGTGTGGTACATTCCCCTGCCTAGTAATTTATCACTTAGCAAACGCAAGCAAGATATTCACGAAAAACACTTCAAGCAAGTCACCACTCGAAAGGCTAGTGTGATAAGGTACACACTGCTCACTTCGATGGATCAGCAATCATTTTTGGCAATTATCACATAACGAGTCGATAAAGCACTTTAACCAAATAGTCATAAAACAGGCAGGGACACTCACCAAAAGTGAAGCTCAAAAGTCAAGCTGGGAATCGAAGTCCACGTCCTCGCTACACCCTAGAAATCCAAGTTTTAAAACTATAAGTTTTACTAAACAAGTTCTTGTTTTGTATATAAAAGGTTATCCTGTATAAAACTAATTTAATTTCTCGAAACAAATCAATCATTCCCTTGGAATTAAGGCTAGTAAAGAAATAAAATATCTCGTATGGTTTCTTTAAAGGTATTTCCCTTCTAGAGGGCAAACTAGAACCAAATTAATTCAAACAAGTTTTCTTTGTCTTTTATTTGAAATTATTCAAATCTAATGTTTTTAACAAATTTCCTTTAAAACGTCTAGTCAAGGATAGTTTTAGGAAAGCTTAAAATTTAGAAGGTTAAATACGATTACTCCCTAAAGATAATAAACTAGCTTAAGCAAAATAAAGGAATTAACTAGTCGGCAAGGTTTTAAAAGTCCAAATAACTAAGTTTTAATAATATACTAAACTCAATTCTATCACTTGATATTAAGGCAGAATATTTCCACAAAATTTGATTTTGAAAATATTCAAGATCAAGAATAATCAAAACGGTCTTCACAAATTCAGCTCATTTGCACAATGGATTCCCAAGTCACCAAGATAAACAAAAATCACAAACCAAATATCAATTTCTCTAGGGCTTCATCAATCATTAGCCCTAGGTCTCAACAGATTCAATTCTAATCAAAATCAACCAAAGGAAGTCCAAAGTATTAAAACAATTCCAAATCACAAATCGTGGACCTTCCAAATGCATTTTGGCCAAACCACTTAAACAATTCCACCAAGAGTTTAACCCTTGCAAAAATTACTTAAGTGGCCAAGAGCTTCATCAATCATTAGCTCTTGGTATCAAACAAACATCCTTTGCCACAAACAACAGAAATTTTAACTCAAATATAGAAGATAAGTCACGGCTAGCTTGCATTCAAATAATTCTAGAAGTTCATATTTTCCTTTCTTGCTTCGATAGTCAAGAAAAATTCTAGCAAATGTCAATTCAAGATGTCTATTAAATCTCCATCTTTTACTTGCTAGATGCACTAAACATATAGCTTATACCCTGCTCAACTTAAGCTAAAGCAAATAATACACGAATCCAGAAAAATAAACTCATCAAAAGCTTGAGCTAGTACGGCTAGCAACCACGTACAGATTTCCAGCAAAGATACTTCATAATTTTCAACAAGATTTCCATCCTTATCTTGCTTTAAACACTAAACACTTAACATGCGTTTTGTCCAACATGGAATGAGTCAAATGGTAAATAATTCCAGCAAGTTATTCCACCAAGAAGTCCTCATAAATCTGTCATCAGTTAGGATATCATTTTTCCAGCAATTGGTAGATTAAATTTTGAAGCTTTCTCCATAATTCCTCATTTTCTTTCCATTCCAGCTCAACATGCAGAGTACAATGATCATGCTAAGGTGTATCTTGTGCAATAATATGAAATTTATAACCAAAGATTCAAAAGAAAAAGTTGGATAAAACTCTGTTTCTTTCTCTCGGCCCAAGCTAAGAAACTCCAGCAGCTTTCTTTCAATATTCCTTTTTTTTTCTATTATACACGACTCATCTTAGCTTCATACATGATCAAAATAATTAACTATCAATGAGTTTTGATCCAGAATTGAGTTCGAACAACATCACAAGATACCATCCAACCAGAAGTTTAATCGATCCTACTCAATTAGCTTGCATGCAAGCTGATTTCGTTACCCCTAATTTTTCTGATTCACACACGGCTAGTTAACCTCATGCACGGCTCAAACATCATGTTGTTAGCTAGATAATCATAGGTATCAACTTAGTTCATCACAATGTAGAAGATTAGGTGCTACATTACCAATTTATGCTCACGGAAGTTCCACTTCATCAAAACAGAATTTCTTATGCTCCTTAACTCATCATCCGAATGCATCAGCTTCACATGCAAGTCCTTAATTAGCTTAATCTACCTATAATCTACTGCTTTCAGCCCAGAAATTGCCTCTACTGGAAGCTCACTCATGCGACAGAAACTGAAGTTTCCTTCCTCTCCTCTCGGCTGGCTCACGCACGCGATGGTTGGTCCTGGTTGCGGTGGTTGTAGCTGGTGGAGGTGAAGGTGTAAATGGAAAGCATGCACGGTCTCTCCCTTTCTTTCCTCAGGCTTGCGGACAGAAACAGAAAAGATTGCAGCTCGCGGTTTTCTTTTCTTTTCTCTCGGATGCGAGATGCGGCTCTCTCTCTCTTTCTCTGGTCGATGATCACGAGGTGGGGAGGAAATGTTGTAGTGGTCTGGGTTTGGAAGTGGAATGGTAGAGAGAAAATGGTGCACGGCTAGAGGAGGTTGAGTGTTGAAGTGGAGATGAAAGTGAAGTGCGGCAGAAATGGAAGAGTTGGCTCTTTGGTGATTGGCCGAATAGAGAGGTAGCGCATAAGGTTGTCCGACAATTTGGTTTTGGAATTGCATGGTTGTTTTGTGATAGTATGGAGGGTGTTTTAGTCTTTTCACGTCTCTTCCTAATCTCCACTCAAGACCTTAGTTCTAAACAAATTCAAAGTTTACCCCAAACGTGATTTAAACGTCGAATTATACACTAATCCTGCAAGACTTTAATTATCGAAATTTTCATGCCTTAAGTATGTTTAGTATACTTGTATCATGTTTATCTAAAATTTATTGGCTTTGTCTTAAAGTGAACATTCTTATTAGTATTTAACGTTATTCACTGATTAGAATTAATTATTGGAATTCAAGAAATTTTATATAATTACTCTACTCAGGTAGCATTAATTTTCAACATAAAGAAAACTAAGTATTTTAGCATTTTATTTTAAGGCGATAAATTATTCTAACTCCAGATGTATTAATTTAGTCTAGCAAAATCAAGAAAATTCATAACTTAGGAAAATTATATTATTTGTCACATGAAATTGTTTTTACGGACTTATTTGCAGACAAGGGAAATTAATGCTAAAATTTATTAAAGAGTTAAAAGAAATGCAAATGAACTACAAAATGATATTTATATATATATTTTTCAGGGTTCTCACAGTATGTACTTGTGAGAACCCCAAAAATATATATAAGCCTATGCATATTTCATTTGCATTTCTTTTAATTCTTTAATAAATTTTAGCATTACTTTCACTTGTTTGCAGATAAGTACGTAAAAACAATTTTATGTGAAAAATAATATAATTTTACTAAACTATGAATTTTTTTTTGTGTTTCGATAGATTAAATTAATACTTTTAGAATTAGATTAATTTAAAACGTTAGAATATTTAGATTCCTTCATGCTAAATTAATGATACTCGAACCAAATAATTTTACTACCTTAAAATAAATTACTCGAAAGCCAACAATTAATTCCAATTAGGTAATAATGTTATAATGTTAATAGGAATTCTCACGTTAAGTCGAAAACCAATAAACTTGAGATAAACATGATTCAAGCATGCTAAACATATTTAAGGCGTAAAAATTATGATAATTGAAGTCTTGCAAGATTAGTGTATAATTAGACGTTCAAATCACACTTGGGGATAATTTTTGGAATTAAGTTAGAAATAAGGACTTAAGTGGACATTAGGAGGAGATGTGAAAAGACCGAAATGCCCCTCCACTATCTCAAATTGACCATGCAAACTCAAACATTCTCTCGGCCAATCACAAAAGAACCAACACTTCTATTTCTGCCGTATTTCTTTTCCATTCACTGCCGGACACATTTTCTTTCTCCTCTCAAGCACTCCACCCCTTCAACCGTGCACCATTTCCTCTCCACACCACCACACCCCAAACCCACAACAACATTTCCCCTCTGCCTTGTTATCATCGACGAAGAGAGAGAGTGAGAGAGCTGCAATCCGCGAGCTGCAACACTTCCAAATTTCTGTCCATGAGCTAGAGTGAAACCAGGGAGAAACCGTGAGCGAGTTCCACCCATTCTGCACTTTCATTCCTACCAGCTGCACCCAGTTTTCCAACCGCAACAACCACCAGCTCCACCGGCTGCCACAGCCAAGCAAACCAGCACTTCAGGCCGTGCGTGAGAACCGAGGGGAAGAAAAAAAAATTTCAGACTTCTTGTGCGTAAGCTTAGCTTGCTTCTGAGGTAATTTCTATGCTAGATTAAGCTAATCAGTGGTAGATGACAGTGTTTAAGAGGTTGCATGTTGGATTATGCATTCGGATGATGAAATTTGAAGCTTGAGAAAAATCTGCCTTGGTAAAATGGAATTACCGTGAGCTTTAATCAGAAATGCAGATGTAATCCTGTTTAGTCATAGTAATCTGAGCTTGTTTTGGTGCCTAATCAACTAATCACTAGCTGATTAAATTGTTTAAAGCTTTGCACGTTGACCTTAGACCATCGGATGCTGAATTCAGAAAAACAGAAATCTGATGTGCGCAAGTTTGGGTCTGCCGGGACTTGAATCGGAAATGCAGACCTTAATCTGCTATATTGCGATAATCTGAGCACATAAATGCAATTAGCTACGTGAAAATATGATGATTAAGCTAGTTATGACCTTACATGTGGATTTTGTGCATTCGGATGATGAATTAAGGAGCATAAGAAATTCTGTTTTGATGAAATGGAACTTCCGTGAGCTTAATTTGGAAACGTAGTTCCTAATCTTCTACATGGTGATGATCTGAGTTGATACCTATATTTATCTAGCTAACAACATGATGATTGAGGCTTGCATGAGGCTAAGTAGCTCGGCTAACCAAGAAAATAAAATGAAAACAGAAAATTGTTTCATGCATGATCATCCGAGACTAGTTGATATAATTCCTGGATTTTAGTGATGTTTGTAGTTGGTAACTGAATCCGATTTTGAGCTAGAAATGTTAACCAAGTGGTGAAGTGAATTGCATGTTGAAGTCGAGTACCTAAAACATTTTAGCCGAGGAAATGTTGGATTTATGAACATTGAAGTGCTGGAAATTTTAATGACCGAGAGGTTGAGCAGAAATTCTTTAACTGGTTTCTGGAATTTTTCCTTGGAGTATAATGGTTTTGAAACGCATGAAAAATGTGTATTTTAAGCTGTGTAAGTTGTCTAGCTATGAAACATTTGATATTTTGGAGGATTTAATCAAGAATGTTGAAGTGTAGACTTGGAAAATTTTCAAAGCAAGTTGATAGAGGTAGTAAAAGATTTTTCAGATTTCATTGGCGAATTTCAGTTCTAAAAATGCTGTTTCGAGCTGTAAAATAGTTTATGCCCATTGATTTCACTTTAAGAAATATTAAGAGGGTTATGCATGTATACCTTGGGATAACAATTTGATTATACTATGGCTAAAATGTTGAGATGGAATTCTTGATGGTTTGGAATGTAATTGCTGGAAAAATGTTTAAGTTATCCTTGTTTCTGAACAATAAAAGTTTGGTTGAAATGTGGGCTATATTGTTATAAGAAGTAATTGTTGGATGCTAAGGGCTAATGATTGATGAAGCCCTTGGCTATTTGAACGATTTTATACAAGTGTTAAAGTGTGATGAAATTTAACTGCTGGAATTGCTTGGAGGCCTTATATTTATTTTAATGAAGTTGAAATGTGATATGAGCTTGCCAAAACCAAGTGCTAATGATTGACGAAGCCTTGGTCATTTATTTTATTCTTGATCAGAAATGAATTTATTGAAACCTAGGGCTAATGATTGACGAATCCCTAGTGACTTGCTATTGGAATGTGATTCTGATGCGTTGGCAAATTTGAACCATAATGTGATTTCGAAAATGGGATCGAATTTGTGAATTCGTTTCAACCCTGCGAATTCGCGAAGGCTTAAGCAACCTATTTAAAAATTTTTGTGCTTAGCATTAATCGATAAAACTTAGTATTGTACGTTTAAGTTAGCAATTCTTGTGTGGGGATTTTCTAAACCTTGCCGATTCGACGTTTTCTACTTAAGCTTAAATTAGCCTTACTACTTTTAGGAAATGATTTCACCTGGTTCAAAAACTCAAGTCTCGCTTTAATTCCTTTTCTTTCGTTAAAAATTGTCCTTGACTAGCTTTCTAGAGGAAAATTTCTAAAATACGAAATTTTTGTGACTTTAGCTAAAAGCATAGAAAACTTGTTCGGCAAGAAACATTATTTCACGTAAAATTAGTTTTAGTAACACTCTTACAAGAAAAGGGATATTATAGAAACTTTACGAAGTACTTTACTAGTTTTAATACTACATGGTTTCTGAATTATTCCAAGAAAATAAACTAGCTATACTATGAATAATTTTTCCTACATAATCCTAGAACTAGCATAGCCAACTTATAGTTTTAAAACTTGGATTTCTAGGGTGTAGCGAGGACGTGGACTTCGATTCCCAGTTTGACTTTTGAGCTTCACTTTTGGTGAGTGTCCCTGTCTGTTTTATGACTATTTGGTTAAAGTGCTTTATCGACTCGTTATGTGATAATTGCCAAAATGATTGCAGATCCATCGAAGTGAGCAGTGTGTACTTTATCACACTAGCCTTTCGAGTGGTGACTTGCTTGAAGTGTTTTTCGTGAATATCTTGCTTGCGCTTGCTAAGTGCTAAATTACTAGGCAGGGGAATGTACCACACCATAAGGGTGGGAGGGCCTCTTATCCTGTCCTGGTAATCAAGTGTTGGACGTAAAGTCGTTGGGTGAATCCCTCGACCAGTCTATAATAATCAAGTGTTGGACGTAAAGTCGTTGGGTGAATCCCTCGACCAGTCTATAATAATCAAGTGTTGGACGTAAAGTCGTTGGGTGAATCCCTCGACCAGTCTGTAATAATCAAGTGTTGGACGTAATGTCGTTGGGTGAATCCCTCGACCAGTCTATAACAATCAAGTGTTGGACGTAAAGTCGTTGGGTGAATCCCTCGATCAGTCTATAATAAATATAAGTGTTGGACGTAATGTCGTTGGGTGAATCCCTCAACCAGTCTATAACAATCAAGTGTTGGACGTAAAGTCGTTGTGTGAATCCCTCGATCAGTCTATAGTAAATATAAGTGTTGGACGTAATGTCGTTGGGTGAATCCCTCGACCAGTCTATAACAATCAAGTGTTGGACGTAAAGTCGTTGGGTGAATCCCTCGATCAGTCTATAATAATAATCAAGTGTTGGACGTAAAGTCGTTGGGTGAATCCCTCGACCAGTCTATAACAATCAAGTGTTGGACGTAAAGTCGTTGGGTGAATCCCTCGATCAGTCTATAATAAATATAAGTGTTGGACGTAATGTCGTTGGGTGAATCCCTCAACCAGTCTATAACAATCAAGTGTTGGACGTAAAGTCGTTGGGTGAATCCCTCGATCAGTCTATAGTAAATATAAGTGTTGGACGTAATGTCGTTGGGTGAATCCCTCGACCAGTCTATAACAATCAAGTGTTGGACGTAAAGTCGTTGGGTGAATCCCTCGATCAGTCTATAATAATAATCAAGTGTTGGACGTAAAGTCGTTGGGTGAATCCCTCGACCAGTCTATAACAATCAAGTGTTGGACGTAAAGTTGTTGGGTGAATCCCTCGATCAGTCTATAATAAATATAAGTGTTGGACGTAATGTCGTTGGGTGAATCCCTCGACCAGTCTAAGGTATACTCGAATATTATCGCTTTCCTAGTTATTTACTTCAGTCGAATTAGTACGTGTTAATTGTTTCAAGTGATTGCATGATTTTGGGGTAGCACTGAGCTTTAGCTCACCCCACGTTCGTTTGTTTTCCTTACAGGTTGTGAAGTTTGAAAGAATTTGAGCTGCTTATATTTCCTATGAATGTAATTGAACAACTTGAATTTAAATTTCGGTTTGTATTGAATTCCAAGTTAAGCATTGTATCTTTCATTTTGGATTGTCACTTGAAGCTGGAAAAGTGTAACCCTAAGTCTGGTATCTAGCTTGTATGTACGTATTTGTGTGGTATGGCTTTAATCCTTGTAAGTAACGCGCGAAGTGTTTAAGAGCCGTCGATTGGCTATCTTATGAATGTTGTTATCTTTGAAGTTAATGAGGATTTAGTTTATTCTTCGGAAGGTTTTGGGCTAGATTGCTTGCGTGAGTCCCGGCGAGAGCTAGGCAGACGGCCCGCCAACCCTCTGGTTCGCCTTAGGGGAAAGTGGGGTCGTCACAGTACTAACGAGAGGGGACGGCCTATTGGGGTCTAGCATTGGACTAGCCCTTTTCTAGAATTCTCTCACAAGCATTGGACTTGCGAGAGCTCGAGGGAAAAGACCATGGCCAGCGTTGGACTAGCCACGGTGACGCATTCATCCATCACATTCATCTACGACTATAGAAAGCAAGTAGACATGCCAATCACCTATAAACACGTAGCACATAACACTTAGCATGCTCGACTAAATGCAAGAGCCTAATAAAGCAAATTAACACGTAGCAACGAAAGCAAGCAATCAAGCTAATGAACCTATTACATTGGCTAACTAAAACAAATGGGGAAGGGGAAAAGTGAAAAAATGCTCTCCAAGCCCTATCTATTACAAGCCAAGAGGTGTACACATACCCCATAAAAGAATAACTTAATAAAAGGAAAAGTAAATGAAATAAATGAAAGGAATTAAAGAAAGGCAAGGAAAGCAAAGTAGACATGCAATTCTCACTTAGCACGTTGGATCACATAGAGGAGAGACAAAAAAGATAAAAGAAGTTATACCTCCCTCGCGATGGTAATCAAATGAAGGAAAAATGGTTTCAAAACAATAAAAAGGTCAAGGTACCACTTTAATTAAGAAAAATTAAAAGAAATGTGCAAAACAAAGCTCACTTGATCATAAAGCCCCTAAAGTCATGACTTAAGTGCAATTGAAACAAAGCATAGTAATTAATTGAAACAAACGAGCAATGAAGTTGTAAAATTAAAACTACCAAGGACCAAATTGAGGAGATTATTCAATTGATTGGGTCATAGCAGCATGAGTTAGAAGCCAATGGGTCAAAGTGCAATTTTTGAAAGAAAATCCATGCATGCAAACTACGAAACACTTTCTTCTGCAACATTCATTCAATGTCTTCTGCAACTTTTAAGCTTTTGAAATGCAGATTTTCATACAGGACTTCAAACAAAGCCAGCAAAGATCATCATTTAACACCACTTACAACTAAACACTTCGATTAATACGATCCAGTCATGAATACTAAACCATTACAGATCAAATGAAGAGAAATGAAGAATCAAATGGTAAGATGTGTGCAGCAACAGAAAATCAAAACCAGCCTTGTGATTTTCTTGAATGAAACTTCATCATTCAACAAAAAGGCCTATATGAAGCAACTCAAACGGATTCTACCATTTCAACAACCAAAAACTAGTGCAAGACTTCAAACTATCCCAGAAGATTCAGTCCAAGCAATGGGATACAAATGCAACAAAAGAAAGAGTGAAACCTGCGACAATTTCCAGCCATGCTTTTCGGCAATGTTGCTGCTGCGTTTCATTTACTTTAGCCAAACAATGTTTGTACGCAAGAGTTCAAACAGACTTATACTAGTTCAACAACTAAGCCCAACTACAAAGGCTCCAACCCATTGTCATTACCATCCCCCAAACATAATCATCTGTCTCCAGAAGATCTAATCAAAACAACCAGGCATGAAATGCAGCAAAGCAATGTGAGGATCTGCTGCAATTTCGTTCAACCAGAAAACTCCCTCAATAGCATTGTTAGAAAAACACAAATGCACATACTTACTCTCAATAGGTCCAATAATGCTACTAGAAACGAAAAAGCAGCATAAATGCAAAACAATAACTTAACAACAAAGAAATGACCGCTGCTGCAATGAGCCGAAAGCTTCAAGCTCATTGCAACAGACTTTTACGCACAATATCCCACCCCAACGTCATCTGATCCCAAGAGACAAGATCATCAAGCAAAAGCTATACCCAAAACACCAGGTAAACAACCAAAAGGAAACATCTTTGTCTTGTAAAATGCAAGTAAAACGTAAGGAAACAGCAGAAAGCCGACTGGACTCTTCTTACATGCCTACCAAGCTTCACATACGGATCTCTTTGACCCAAATTTACTTAGATGCCTTTTATCCAACCCAGTCAGGTGTATTAGCAAGATTGAACTGACTTTGCTAACTCATGCAATAGCAAACAACGACTCATACACAACCTAACAGATTCCTTGACCAAATACAGCAACCGCATCATTCAATCATAAAGGTGCAATCATCAGAGAAAACAAGCAAGTTAATAACCCTGATTTTCATCCTTTTGCTAGCAAATGTTAAGGATAAGAGAGAGGAAGAACTCATTACAGTGTTTTTCTCGAAGTTTCGATGGCGATGGCAGTGGGTCTCGGCAAACGATGGCTACTTCCAGCTCTTCATCCGTTCTTTTGCTACTGGTTCGAGGCCTCCCTCCGTTGGCCTCTCGCCTAGGTTCCTTTATTCCTTCTTTTCTTTTTTTCCTTTTCGCTTTCCAGATCTTCCTCCTCCTAAAGCTTCTCCCTTTCTCCTTCAGTTCTCTCTTCTTGTTTCATTCCCTCCTGGCCCAAAGCTTTCTTCTTTTTCTGTTTTTCCTCAGCCCCCAAAGACCTAGTCTTTTCCTTTTTGTTTTACAGTTCCCGGCCTCCCTTCCTACCCCCTCTGTTTTTCTTTCTTTTGCTCTTGATCAAAAACTCAGCCGCCACTGCCCTCTCTATTTCCCAGCCGTCTCTTTCATTTTCCTCCTTATTCCCTCAGCCCTTTTCTTTTGTTGCTTTTCCTAGAAACCTCGCCGTCAACTTTTCTAGCCCTCTGGTCTTTCCTCTCTGATTCTCAGCCGTCCTCCCCAAAAGTCTCTCTCTCCTCTCTTCTCACGGCCTTCCTCTGCTTAGCACTCCCCCTCTCTGGTTTCTTTTCCAATCTCTTTTCCCCGCCGTCCTCTCCTTTTTCTGTGGCTGCCCTTTTTCTGTTTTTAAGGCACCCCCAAAACACTAGACCTAAGATGAAGGGCCAAGATCTCAAACCCCAAAATGGTTTTTTTATCTCTCTTCCTCTTGTCCCCTTGATCTTTATAAACGAAATTTTTTTGGAGTGAGCTGGACTTGTATGAGAGTACTTGGAGGAAAAAAGAATGCCACGGAAATGAATAAAAATGGAATCAAATAGCCAGCTGCGATTTTTCTTTCTATAATATCCGAAGCCATGCAAAAAGAAATGAAGAAATAGAGTGAGTCCCTTTTTCCTTTTTTTTTTCTTTTTTTTCTCTTTTTCCTTTCAATGAATTAATTAATACTAAAAATGTCCTAAAGGTAAAACTAAGAGACTAAAATGCAAAAATAAAATGGATAATAATAAATAGAATAGAATAGTAATAAATAACGCTAAATTTAAAAAAGATTAATATCTAAAATGCCAAAATAAAAAAAATGAAAAAAAATAAATTCATGAGATTAATAAAATAAAAGTAGATGATAAAATAAAAAAAAATGAAACAAATTAAAAATTTGGTGTCTACACTAGAGCATCTTGCAATTTCTGCCAAAATCGAGATACAAATCTGGGGTCTCTATCTGACACGATATTCACTGGTACCCCATGTAATCTCACTACTTCATCCATATAGAGTTTGGCCAGTTTCTCCAAAGAATATTTCATATTAACTGGTAGGAAATGTGCGGTCTTAGTTAATCGGTACACTATCACCCAAACCGCATCATGTCCTTTTTGAGTTCGTGGTAACCCTGATACAAAATCTATTGTTATATATGCTCCCACTTCCATTCAGTGATCTCTAAAGGCTGTAACAGACCCGACGATTTTTGATATTCAGTTTTCACTTGTTGGCACGTAAGACACTTTTGTACAAATTGGGAAATCTCCGCCTTCATATTATCCCACTAATACAGACTTTTGAGATCTTGGTACATTTTACCACTACCTGGATGTACCGTATACCTAGAACGGTGGGATTCCTCCAAAATCTCCCTCTTTAATTCTTCATCCCTAGGCATAACGACGCGATTTTGAAACCTTAAAATTCCATCAGGACCTAGGTTAAAGTTAGACAATTCCCCTTTCTTCACTCTTTCTACCCACTTCTGCACCGTCAGTTCTTTCATTTGGTCCTCTTTAATCAGATCCAATAGTGTCGATTTCACCTCAATATTTCCAAAAATAACTTTATGTGGCTCCAGATGTGGATTCCATTCACATACATCCTCTAATAAGCGCCACTCTCCCACCATTGAACTTGCTAGTTGAGCCTTTCGACTTAAAGCATCTGCTACAACGTTGGCTTTTCCTGGATGGTAGTTAATCGTACAATCATAGTCTTCTAAGAACTCCACCCACCGACGTTGTCTTAGATTTAGCTCTTTCTGGGAAAATAAGTACTTAAGACTCTTATGATCCGTGTATACCTCAAATGTCACCCCGTATAAGTAATGCCGCCATTTCTTCAAGGCAAACACAATAGCTGCAAGCTCCAAGTCATGGGTTGGATAGTTTTGCTCATGAGGCTTTAACTTCCGAGATGCGTAGGCAATCACATTTTTATTTTGCATCAAAACACACCCTAACCCCTCTCTTGAAGCATCGGTATAAACCGTATAGCTATCTGTCCCATTGGGCAAAACTAACACTGGAGCCATGGTCAATTGCCTCTTAAGCTCTTGAAAACCATTCTCGTACTTAGCATCCCAAATATACTTTCCTTGTTTCTTTATCAAGTTCGTTAGGGGTCCCGCAATTTTCAAGAAATTCTTTATAAATCGGCGGTAATACCCCGCTAGGCCCAAAAAGCTTTATACTTCAGTAGGATTCTCTGGTTGTTTCTATTTGGCTACAGCTTCCACTTTGGCCGGATCCACAGTAAGTCCATCTTTTGAAATTATATGGCCTAAGAACGCCACTTTCTCCAACCAAAATTCACACCTACTAAATTTAGCAAACAACTGGTGCCCTTGTAGGGTTTGTAATACTATCCTCAAATGTTGCTCATGCTCCTTCCTTGTCTTTGAATATACTAGGATATCATCAATAAATACCACTACAAACTTATCCAAGTAGGGTTTAAACACTCGATGCATTAAATCCATGAACGCTGCTGGGGTATTAGTTAAGCCAAAAGGCATTACTGTAAACTCGAAATGCCCATATCAAGTGTTAAAGGCCATTTTTGGCACATCCTCTTTTCTGATTCTCAATTGATAATACCCTTGTCAAAGATCCAACTTACAGAACACCACCGCCCCTTGTAATTGATCAAACAACTCAACGATGTGGGGCAAAGGATATTTATTCTTAACGGTTACTGCATTCAAACCTCGATAATCAATGCATAACCTTAAACTCCCGTCCTTCTTTTTAACAAATAGCACTGGAGCACCCCATGGTGACTCGCTCTCATGTATGAATCCCCGTTCTAGCAAGTCTTGCAACTGAACTTTTAACTCCTTAAGTTCGACGGGTGCCATTCGACAAGGGGTTTTCGAAATGGGAGTAGTTCCGGGTGCTAGGTCAACCTTAAATTCAATTTCTCTTTCGGGTGGCAATGACTCCAACTCCTCCGGAAATACGTCCGGATACTCACTAATCACCGGCATGTCCTCCAGCTTAACATTTTCTCCTGGGGTGTTAACTAGAAAAGCTAAATAACTGCGTGCCTCATGACTAAGCAATTTCCTAGCCCTTATTCCCGAAATGAGCGCAGATGAGGCTAACATACCCCTCACATCTAACTTTAGAGTTGCCTCACCCGGTATACAAAACTCGACCACTTTCATCCTACAATCTACCTGAGCATGATAATGAGCTAGCCAATCCATGCCTAGAATGACATCGCACCCCTTAATGGCTAGACTTATGAGGTCGACTACTAATTTTCGCTCACCAATCCAAATATCGCAATTTCTATACACCTCATTCGCAAGTAAAGTTTGGTTACCCGTAGGTGTTCTTACTTCTAAGTCATAAGGTAGCCTTTCAACTTTCATGTCAATTCCAAGCATAAATGTAGGGCTAACAAAAGAGTGAGTGGCACCAGGATCTATCAAAATTTTGGCTAAACGATGGCAAACAGGAATCGTACCTTCCACTACCTCCGTTGGCTCAAGTACCAATTGCTGGTCCAACGAATATACCCTGGCTGGTACCCTTGACCTGGTCCCTCCTATATTGGTCAGTCTCGGGTTTTATTTGCCAGCTGACTGAGCATCGCTGATTAGCGGGCAATTAACGATCTGGTGCTCCGTGCTTCCACACCTTAGGCATTTCCGGGCCTTTCTCCAGCAATTATCCTCAGTATGGTTTGATTTTCCACAATATCCACACGTTACTCGGGGAGTGGAGGTCTGGCCCCCCTGTGGACCATCTCTCCCCTGTCCTCTTCCACCTTGGCCTCCCCTCGACGTACCTCCCCTCGAAGTACTCGTAAACCTTCCACCCCCAGCCCCATGACCGGCTTTAGAGGGTGGCACACTTCGATCACTTTGTGCCGGTCTTTGACTTCTACCGGGCGCCCCTTTTCATTTCGCGTGAAAGTTCCTCACTTGTGCCCTGACAATCTCTATCCTCTGGGCCTTCTCCAAAACCTCAGTAAAAGTATTAATCTGGGCTGCCGCTAAGGCCTCCTGTATTTCCACATTGAGTCCTTGAACAAACCTCCTTACCTTTCTTGGCTCCGTAGCTATCAATTCAGGGGCAAATTTGGATAACTTCGTAAATTGGACCTCATACTCAGATACACTCAAAGTTTCCTACCGGAGCTTAATAAAATTGTCCTCTCTCTTCTCCTAGACGATAAGTGGGAGGTATTTTTCGTTAAACTCCCGCACGAAATTCAACCAGGTCCATGCAGTTCCTTCTCTTTCCCACTTAGCTTTAATACTTTCCACCAAGCCCTGGCCGGACCTTCAAACTGAAAAATGGTAAATTGCACTTGTCCGGATACTCACTAATCACCGGCATGTCCTCCAGCTTAACATTTTCTCCTGGGGTGTTAACTAGAAAAGCTAAATAACTGCGTGCCTCATGACTAAGCAATTTCCTAGCCCTTATTCCCGAAATGAGCGCAGATGAGGCTAACATACCCCTCACATCTAACTTTAGAGTTGCCTCACCCGGTATACAAAACTCGACCACTTTCATCCTACAATCTACCTGAGCATGATAATGAGCTAGCCAATCCATGCCTAGAATGACATCGCACCCCTTAATGGCTAGACTTATGAGGTCGACTACTAATTTTCGCTCACCAATCCAAATATCGCAATTTCTATACACCTCATTCGCAAGTAAAGTTTGGTTACCCGTAGGTGTTCTTACTTCTAAGTCATAAGGTAGCCTTTCAACTTTCATGTCAATTCCAAGCATAAATGTAGGGCTAACAAAAGAGTGAGTGGCACCAGGATCTATCAAAATTTTGGCTAAACGATGGCAAACAGGAATCGTACCTTCCACTACCTCCGTTGGCTCAAGTACCAATTGCTGGTCCAACGAATATACCCTGGCTGGTACCCTTGACCTGGTCCCTCCTATATTGGTCAGTCTCGGGTTTTATTTGCCAGCTGACTGAGCATCGCTGATTAGCGGGCAATTAACGATCTGGTGCTCCGTGCTTCCACACCTTAGGCATTTCCGGGCCTTTCTCCAGCAATTATCCTCAGTATGGTTTGATTTTCCACAATATCCACACGTTACTCGGGGAGTGGAGGTCTGGCCCCCCTGTGGACCATCTCTCCCCTGTCCTCTTCCACCTTGGCCTCCCCTCGACGTACCTCCCCTCGAAGTACTCGTAAACCTTCCACCCCCAGCCCCATGACCGGCTTTAGAGGGTGGCACACTTCGATCACTTTGTGCCGGTCTTTGACTTCTACCGGGCGCCCCTTTTCATTTCGCGTGAAAGTTCCTCACTTGTGCCCTGACAATCTCTATCCTCTGGGCCTTCTCCAAAACCTCAGTAAAAGTATTAATCTGGGCTGCCGCTAAGGCCTCCTGTATTTCCACATTGAGTCCTTGAACAAACCTCCTTACCTTTCTTGGCTCCGTAGCTATCAATTCAGGGGCAAATTTGGATAACTTCGTAAATTGGACCTCATACTCAGATACACTCAAAGTTTCCTACCGGAGCTTAATAAAATTGTCCTCTCTCTTCTCCTAGACGATAAGTGGGAGGTATTTTTCGTTAAACTCCCGCACGAAATTCAACCAGGTCCATGCAGTTCCTTCTCTTTCCCACTTAGCTTTAATACTTTCCACCAAGCCCTGGCCGGACCTTCAAACTGAAAAATGGTAAATTGCACTTGTCTATCCTCTGCATAGTTTAGAGCGGCAAATATATTAATCATGGTCTCTAACCATCTCTCCGCTCCCTCAGGGTCCGGTCCTCCCAAGAACTTAGGAGGAGAGAACTTTTGAAATCTCTCTAAGGCCTTATCTTGCCCCATATCGGGATCCCTAGGTTGGTTCACAGGGGCTTGACCCTGTTGCTCTACCAAGCGAGCAAGGATATTAGTCATTTGTTGAATTGTCGTCGCCACCTGATCCCCCCTTTCCACTCGGGGTCCAGGTTGCGGCTCAGCTGTTCCACTTCTTTCCCCTCTCGGTTCTTGCACTGGTTCTTGGGCTTGTCTACCCCCACGCCCATGATTAGAGCCACGCCCTCGAGTAGCTCCCTGATCTTGGCTTCTTCTGCCTTCCATGATTATTGACTAACTAACTGTAGACACCAAATTTTGAAATAATTTGTATGATTTTTATTTTTGTTTTAGTTGTAGATTCCAAATTTTTAATGCAATTTTATTTACTTTTTAGTGTTAGTTTTATTTACTTGTTAGTTTTTAGTTGTTTTAGTTTTATTCACTTTTTAGTTTTTAGTTTTAGTTTTTAGTTTTAGCATAGAATTTCTTGGGAAAAAAGGAGGAAAATTCAAAAAGAACATGCTTTAATTGTTTTTGACTTAAATTCAATATTTTATTGAAAAAAGAAAAAAAAAGGAAAAATGAATGAAAAGGAAAAAAAATGATGAAAATGGAAAATAAAAAAGGGAAAAGTGGAATTTGCATTTTTTGTGGTTTCTAGTTCATTTATTTTCCATCCAATGTTGATTAAAGTGTTTTTGTTATTTATTCCTATTATTTTAATTTTGTTTAGTTTTAAAAAAAAAAAAAAAAACCTGCTACGCGACATGCAAGCTAATGCAGCTTGCAAGGGAACTTTGAGGCGGCTCCTTAGCTGCAATTACAGAAGAAGTTGCTGGGGTTTAGGGTTGGAAGGGTGCCATATAAAAAGAAAATAGAAAGGCTACGAAAGGGAGGTTTTGACAGCCGCAACTTGGGCTGGAGAAAAGAGAGAAAAAGCTACAGAGGAAAAGAAGCCGAAAAAAGCTAGAAAGAGCGAGGAAAAATAGAGGAAGACTGCTAGAACGATCTGAGAGGAGAAGAGAGGGTAACGGAGAAGGCTTTGGGTAACGACTGACGAAAGAAAAGTTGACGGTTGGTTGAGGAAGAGCTGAAAAGAAACAAAAGCGAGGAAGAAGGAAAAGCTCCGGCAGCAAGGAGTTTAAGAAGAGGGAAATCAGAAAAGGAAAAAGAAGGGATCTTCGGTTGGTATTGGCCACATCAGCGCTGGAATCTCCTTCAACTCAGTTCATCGATTTCCAGAACCGTTCAATTTCTTTGGGTCATACTTGTCCCTTTAGTAGTCTAAGGGCTCTCAGGTATAACGGATTCTTCTCAATGTTAGTTTAACATAATCTGTTTAAGTTTTAGTCGTTTTCCTTCTTTTCCTTCTCAATTGAAGTCCCTTGCGCATGATTTCCTTCTTTTGTTTAAGTTTTAGTCGTTACCTATGCCTAATGACTATGACTATGGTTACGTTTGGTGACTTTGCTGTGCTGTTGACAAGGCTTGGTGTTAGTCTTTTTGTTCATTTAATGTGCATCTGAAAGCATGAATTCAGTTTAGGAGCCATGAACAGATAATGTTTTCCTATATATGTAGGCTGATGTTCTAAAGGTCGCATTTTTGGTTTTTGTTTGTGTGTACAAGTTGGGTCTAAGAAATTCGGCTGTATGTTATCAATTCGGCCAGACTGCATTTTTCCTTCTTTTTGCCGTTGTTTGTTTAGAACTACCATGGCTATGTCTGTCCAGTTTAGGAAATGTTTAGACTTGTGCATGAATACCCTTGAACTGGGTAAGGAAGACATGAAACTGTTGGCTGCAGAATTTGCAGCAGAGCATAGTTTACTGCAACCCGTTTTGTTTTCTTTTCTTTTCCGCAAACACTCACAAGCTTTAACTATCCTAATTTGCTAGTTAGTCTTGTGTGAAAATGAGCAGTAGAAGATTGGTTTCAGTTTGCATGTTTGAATTTCAAAAACACTTGAGCTATGGTCGAATGTTTTGTTGAAAATAAACTAGTCAGGATTGCCGAACCTTTTGCCCAGAATTTTCCAGCTTTTGCATGTTTTTTTTTCATGTTTTGGTTGGTTCGAATGTTGAAATGGGTGTTATTACACTTAGATTGGTTTTGGGTGTTTGTGTTCAAACATATTTGAGCTGGAATTGAATGTTTGCTGGCCACATAGACAATAGGTAGCTGGA